TTAAACAGATACCTATATTTTTAGGAGTATACTCTTACACGTCAGATTGTTGACAAACTGACGCAGAAACAGAACCGGAAGAAACGAACAAGAAATTACGGCCGAGAACGAACACCTTTTAGCGAACACGAAACTTCAAAGTCAATATTATGATCCGCCGCGAGATTTGAATTTTTCTAGTTTCCATTATCAGGGAAGAATTATTGCTGCATTCATATGCACATTCTTATATATGTTCATATGCTATATATGCAGGGCTGGATTGACCATTAACAAAATAAGCGCGTGCTTAGAACATCAGGGAGGGAAGCGATGCACCCAAATACCTATTTAGATATCATTAATATGGAAAGTAACATTATTAAAATATTCAGATTCCATTCAGGTAACACAGCATATTGTATTCTATTCTGTATGTACCTGCGTACCTGGCTACGGGGAAGCTGAATTGGACCTCTGCACTGGAAAGATTGACTCTTCCAGCTTCCAGTTATGTCGAGTATTCCAGTGAGCGATTTTAAGGGGAAGCTGAATCGGTCGTCATTAGAAAAGTTTACTCTTCGTAAGATTGGAAAAGTCTGAATTTCGATAATATCTCAGTTCAATCCGTTAAAGTTTGAGCAATGTAGCGGCCATGTGTGTAAATATTTCAATATGTAGGTATTTGTGTGTGTGTTGTGTTGACACCAGCGTATAAGTTCTATATTGTCCCTTGCCCCTGTTCAGTTCTCGATAGTATCCATTTGTTTCTGTCTTTGTCTCCCTCTTGCCCGTTTTCCTTTATTCTGTTAGGCTTAGATGCTCTGGAAATGTTAGCTCTTATAATGTGCCCTGTGAATTTCATTCGTTGTTCTTTCACTTCGCTTAAAAGCTGTCTCTTCTATTCTGTCTGTCATTACTTTTTCTTTTGTTCGTTTTTTTTCTGCCCAACCAATTCTTTCCATTCTCCTTAAACACCGCATTTCAAAACTTTCTATACGCCTTTGATTATCTTTGGTCAAATTCCAAGTTTCGCACCCTTATTTCAAGAACGGTCAAATGTAGCATTTTAGTACTCTAGCACTTACACTAAACGACATTTTTTTTTTGTTTGTGAGAATGTTTCTCATTTTCCCAAAAGCTACTTTTGCCACCCCTATCCTTCTTTTAATTTCAACATTTCTACTTGCATTTTCGGTTATGATACTTCCCAATTAATCAAATTTGTTTACTTGTAATACGTTGTCTGACATTTTAATATTTCATCTCGATGTTTTTTTTTTCTTTGATGTTACCATTGTATATGTTTTCTTGCTGTTTAAGATAAGTCCCATGTTCTCGCTTTCTGACATGACTTTATCTACATGTGTCTGGAGGTCCTTATTTGATGCTATCAAGTGCAGTGTATGCTGTTGTATGCATGCTGTTGGTGCATCTGCTGTTGGTGCATCTGCCTCCAGTCTTGATTCCCGGTAGGTTGTCTAATTTCCTTAAAATCCTTTCGCTGTAGAGAGAAAATAAATCTGTGGACGGGACACATCCCTGCCTGACACCTCCTTTATTCTTTTGCCACTCATCTAGTTCTCCTTCTGTCTAATTGTTGTTTCTTGTTCCCAATAAATATTTCTAATAATCCTCAGATCCCTTCCATCTATATTTGTATTGCATTGAGTTTTGAATAATTTATCGTGCTGAACTTCACTAAAAGTTTTTGTGAAATCTATAAAATTTATGTGCAGGTTTTGTTGCATCTCTGTTGCTCTTTCTATTATTGTTCTTAATAGAAAAATTGCATTTCGGGTAACCTTTCCCTCCACAAAACCGCACTGACTTTCTCCAATCTCTGCTTTTACCCTTTTCTTTGCAATATACATCAAAATTCGTAAGAGGATTTTGATATTATGACTAATTAGACAGTTTTTTCGTTATCTTAGTAGGTCTATGGGTATGTTTCTTGTTTTATATATGTTTGTTTTTTTTCTAACATCCCTGAATCTTCTATCATTTCAATCTGTAATTGGTCTACACCTCAAGCATTTTCGTCTTTTTGACTGCATGTTCTTTTTCTGTGTCAATTATATCCGGTCCTACATTTTCCTCACTGATAGATGGTTTATTACCCCTTTCATCTGTGAAAAGATCTATGGATTTTGACCATCTTTTCAGAATGGCATCTTTTTCCATTGTGAGTAGCTGCATATTTTCTTGCCTGTTATTTCTTTGAAGTCCCTATATATTTCTTTAGTAAAAGCGTTCTTCAATCTTTCTATCCTTTCACACTTTTTATTTAACCACTTCTTTTCTTCTAGACACTATTTGATAATATTCTATTTTTGTTTCACTTTCCTCCTTTCTTCCATGAGATCTAGAATTTGTTTATTCATCCATTTTTTTTATCCCTTGCAGGAATTATTTTCATTCACTTTCATTCATTGTGTGTTTATAATTACCAAACGAGATTTTACATCAATATTCTCTTCACTTGATAAATTTTCATATCTATTTTCAGTTTCCAGTTGGAAAGCTTCTCTAATTCTGGGATCTTTTAATTTTTCGAGATCTAAATTTTCCTCTTTAGTCTTCATCGGTTTTTGTTTCTTCAATTTGATCTTGATTGTTGCAACTACTGGGTTATGGTCGCTATCGCAATCCGCACCGAGGTATGTTTTTGCCTGCCCTACCGCGAGTTATATAATTCATTTGATTTCTAGCTCTGTCGCCTGGACTTTTCCATGTGTACAGCCTACTTGGTGGATCTTCAAACCACATGTTAGTAATAACTTGATCTTTTTCAGAACACCACTCTATCCATTTCTCATCTCTTTCATTTATTTCTCCCAGGCCGTATGGACCCACTACATTTCCATTACTTCCCTTTCTCACTCTTGCATTTAGATCTCCCAAAACATTTTTTACTTCTTGTGATTTATATTGATCGTATGCTTCTTCGATTTGATCATAAAAACTTTCTATTTCTTGCTATTTTGATTCTTTAGTTGGGGCATAACCTTGTGTAATGCTCATATCAAATGGACGTCCCTTTAACTTAATATATAATACCTTATCTGATATTGAACAGTATCCTAGCAGACTGCTGATTGCAATTTAATCAGCATCACCGCTACTCCTTTTTCACTTTTTTTCTCTTTTCAAGACATGTCGTGGGGTAAGATGAGACACTTGGGGACTTTTGGAAGGAAAGGGCCTCGTTTTCCTATAGATTTCATGAAAATTATTAAAAACACGTTATTTCGAGCCTCCTTTGTCTTTGACTCGTGGTTTTCAACCGGAGAAGACTTACATCGCGAAGAAAGTAACGCTTTTATCAAGGTGAGTTCATTGTTAGTATTGCTTGCCATCCAGCTTATTCGAGATGGCATACGCAAAATACCAGTTGCTAAAGCAATATAATATCTTTAAGGTCGACCTCCATGGGTTTAAACCAAGTTCAGTGCATGCCAATACCAAAGAAAAATATCATTAACAGGTTCAAATTTTCGTTTTGTTTTATTAAGAACTTAATTTTTGTTTGTGCTTCGGGGCAAGACGCGACATCTTGGATGTACGATCATGACCGAAGATGCTGTAAACATAGTGCATGTTGTAAAGTGCAAATAATGGGACTCTTGATGTTAAATTTTCAAACAGGAACAATATTTTTGTGGCATGCAATTAAATTGATGCAGCTTTTCAAATGGTTCAGTGAGAACGTCTGTATGATTTTTTTTCAATTTCATGTTGAAAACACATGCTAATTTCTTGAAACCTAGTATAAACTCGATGGTGTTATTTTTATCATAAACATTATAATTTTTATAATGTTTTTTTTTTTTAACATTAGTAACAGCAAAATAAGATAACGTAAAATATTTCGTAAATCAAAGAAAAGGGTGAACAGGCGAGACAGGCGGTACTCGTAACTGGTTCATTGGGGATTTAGTACAAGTGTAGCCATCTATGTGTGAAAACAATCTAACAAGTAATCTCACAGTGGCTATGGCATTAAAAGGGGTAAGATGAGACAATTTGGTCCTGGGTATTAATTTTTGATTTGCTACTTATTTTAGTTTTATTTACATTTTCTTTCATTAAATCTGCAGGAGTGATCATATGTTAGCTATTTGACAAGACTTGTATTTAATCACAGAATATTTTATTTTAAAAGATACAGTTATTTTCTGATGTTTCGTCTTGCCCCGAATTGTCTTTCCCTGCACCCTTCCGCTAATCTTCCTTCTTTTCATTTCCTTTTCTACGTTGTTCGTTTTTTCATTTTGTAAAAGTTCTAACATTCCAAGTCCCGATCCGGTTAGCATTATTAAGGGACTTTGTATTATTTCTTTTGTGCTCTGCAGTTGTGTGATGACGGTCTAGCTTCACCTGCAGTTCAAGAGAGTCTCGACCGAGCGAGACGTTCTTATTTGGAACATTCCCATTGACGCTGTTGGCTTTAATATCCTTGTTTGTTCTGTCCATGGTTACTGCTAGGGTATATACTGAAATGGGTACCCTTGGATTTCCCCGATTCCTTCTTCAGCTGCAGTGATTATATTAGCCTTATAACCCTGGCCTCCTCTGCCTTAGAGTTGTGTTTTGCTAACCATGAATTTCTACTCTAGAATGTTCTTAGCAAAATATCCACTGCCTGCGAGTCAGGGCTTCATGCAGACCACCACGCCCCCTTCCGGTCATGTGGCCTAATTATGTGACATGATGTAACATGGACTTGTGCATTCCAGCTAGATAATTGTCATGTGGTGAGCGCACCGGCCTCATGTACTTAATGCCAATTGCCTTTAATGATTTAAAAAAGTGCTAGATATGTAACCCATGACATGCCATGACAGTCAAAGTAGCAATAAATGGCGCTTGCTTCTGCATCCCTCGTATATGCCTGTCCGCCTGCCTGCCTGCCTGCCTGCCTGGTAAATGAGAGGGTGTGTCATTATGGGCTAACTACCTCAGCTTTCTACTCGGGTAATTGATTACAGGGGAGGGGGGGGCTTGGGAGATGATTGACG